CCTAGGTGAAAGGCGTCCCGTGTCGGAGTGCCGACATGTGTGTGAGTCAGCGGTCTTAGGTGAAAGACTGACCTATGTGTTAGAGAGAAGAGCTCGGCTCTTCGAGTCTCTGTCGGCCCCAGTGCCGAAATTGTAACGCCTCTGTAAATATGCTGTACATAAACCTTGTTTAACTCACCGTCGTCTCGTCCGCTCGTCTTATCAGCTCTGCGCAGAAGCAGTCGCGAGCTGATAAACATACGCTACCAAACGGCTGGTGACCTTCCCGGCGGAGTTGAAAGCAGTGGCGCCTCCGGGGCCGTGTTGGCGTCGCCGTCTTTCGCAACAGTGGTGGCTTCGGCGGGATCGGTCCGTCGTTCGCAACAGTGGAGGTCAGCGGCGGGATTTCGGAGGTGCCTTCGCAACAGTGGTTGGCAGCTGCGGGATCGGCCGGCGTCAGCGACATCGATGCGGTGAGTGCCTGATGTTTTCCCCTCAGTTCACCAGACTACTCTACCTCAGGTTGTAGTAGTTTAGAGAAGGGCTGTGTGAAGCATTGAAGTGAGCTTTGATTGTTTCAAGCCAAGTCGAAGCGCTTTGAAACCAAAGTTAATGCGGAGGGGGTAAACACGGGAGTGTGAAAAATTGCTTGCGCGTCTTGCTAGTAGGCTTATAGTGGGTACGGCAAGTAGATTCTTAACAGGGGCAAACAGCAAGAGGCTAGTGTGAACGATGGAGAACCTTAAAGTGAAGGAACTCATCGAAATTTGTGAGGAACTCGGCATTACTTTGGGCCGTGCGAAACGAAAGCAAGCGATCCTTGCGATCATGAAGGATGAGGGAGTGTCGGCTGAGGAAGTCGATGAGGCCTGGGTGGATATCAAAGCACGCCGTGAGGAGGCTGAAAGGCGAGAAGTAGAAGCTCGCGAACGTGAGGAGGCTGAAAGGCGCGAAGCTCGCGAACGTGAAGAAAGGCGCGAAGCTCGCGAACGTGAAGAAGCTGAAAGGCGCGAACGTCGCGAGCGCGAGGAGGCCGAGAGACAGGAGCGCCTTGAGATGAAACGACTAGAATTGGCAATCCTACAGTGTTCGCAGGCGCCTAGCGTAGCTTCTCCGACGATTCAGGTCAGCGGTTTTAGAATTCGGGACCAACTGCCACCGTTCGTAGTAGGCGAGGACATGGCGAAGTACCTCGTCAAGTTTGAACACGTCTGTGAGCGAAACGCTTTGGAACGGTCTCTTTGGGCGCAGAACCTGTTAGCTCTTCTTCCCGGCGAAGTGTCCGACGCATTAACTTGCTTGTCTAGGGAAGCGTTTGAGAGCTATGACGAGGTTAAGGAAGTGCTCTTGAGACGTTACAAGTTGTCACCCGAGGCTTTCAGGCAAAGGTTCCGGTATGCTGAAAAGGGGAATGAGTCACACGTTGACTTCGCGTTTCGTCTTAAAGCCGATTTAATTGAATGGCTCAAGGGCGAAGGTGTTTATGACGACCGCGATAAAGTGGTGGAATGCGTTGCATTAGAGCAATTCTACCGCTGCACCGAGGATAATGTCAGGCTTTGGCTGCAGGACAGACTTGGTGAAGTACAGCTAAACAAGGCAGCAGAGTTAGCTGAGGAGTATTATACTCGTCGAAAGTTGCACAGCAGGGCAGTGCGCGTTGAAAAGAATGAGAGAAAAGAGGGCTTTTCAAAGAAACCTGATCAACGGAGACCCGCTCCGCACCGTAATTTCAAGAAGGACCCGTCTCTTACGAAGGACAGTGTAGGGGAAGGGCAAACAGAAGCGGAGAAATCGAGTGAGGTTTCTACCACACAGGCATTCGAATCGGAAAACAAACGGAAGCCGCTAATCTGCTACAACTGTAAAAAGGAAGGGCACATCGCGAGAAACTGTCAGGAAAAATTTGCCTTCGCAACAATCCGAGAATCAGGAAAAAACATGCGGTTGTTGGAGCCGTATCTCCAAGAAATTAGGGTCAATGAGAAAACGTGCCGAGCACTTAGAGACTCAGCGGCAACCATGGACGTTGTCCATCCTTCACAGGAGAATGCGCGTGGATCAGGCAAGTCGCCGAGGTGCAGAGTGTTCGCTTACCAATCGCCACGGTGGTCATTGAAGGCCCGTTCGGTAAGCTTCGCACCGAAGCAGCCGTGTCTGCCGCGCTAAACGATCGTTTTCCTTATCTATTCTCCAACAACTCAGAGCAGCTTCTCAAAGAGCAGGGTAAATCGTTCTTCCCCAACTTAGCGTGCATGGCTCTCACGCGATCGCAAGCGCGAAAGCTTTCGCGGAAGCTTGACCTGGTTCCATGCGGTGAACTCTCAAGTGACCTTGTCGGCGGGTCGACGGAACCCCAGAAAGGAAAGTTTCCGCATGAGTCATGTGAGCAGTCACGCGAGCGGCCCGTCGCCGAACCTAGCTGCGCGGTTTCCGGAGAAAGGGGAGACGACATGGCGCCATTGAGTCAGAGCGAGAGGGTTGCAACGCTCTCGCCTGTAGCGGAAAGTTGGAGCGAGCTGCCGAGAGTTGATCGAGAGACGCTCATTCGAGGGCAGAGTGAGGATCTCTCGATTGAAGCGCTAGTGGAAAGCCAAATTGAAGCGCTCGTGGAAAGCCAGAAAAACGCGGCAAAAGTGCTGTCGAAGGAGCACTACGAGAAATCGGGGAAGAAGCGCGCTATTGGAGTTGATAATCAGGTAATGCGGCTGCAGCCACCAAAAAGGAACAAGCTTGAGGTTGATTGGGAAGGGCCCGCCACAGTATTATCGAAGCCTTGCGATACAACTTATGAGGTGCAAGTAGGAAGGCGGCAAAACAAAATTTACAACTTGATAAAACCCAATGTTCAACATCAAGCGGTCGTAAATCAGCTGTTGAAGGCTTCAGAGGAAGAGGAAGCAGAAAATTTGAGTTCTAGTGAGGTGATCGAAGGGGGATCGAAAGTAATCCGGGAGCAGATAAACCTAGAGCCTATCTTAAGTGAAGGAGGACCTGAGAAAGAGGACCTGAGAAAGATTGTTTCCGAGTTTGGGTATGTGTTGTCGGACCGTCCCGGAGACACGACGGTGATCGAACACGATATCGAGCTAAGCGGTGAGGAGTCAATCAGTAGCAAGCCGTATCGTTGTTCCCCTGTGCAACGTCGAAAGTGTGAGCCGCTCTTGGTGCCGCATAGGTATCGTCGCCTAAAAGTGGCCGGTTACTGAGGTGGGGCATGTTGCTCCACAGCGCAACTTTGACGTTCGCTAAAGAAAAAAAAAAGGAAAGGTAAACGTTAATGCAGGTGCATTGAGCAGTGCGTTTAGTTAGTACCTTCTCAACCTTTCGGTTTCTGGCTGGCGATTCGGGGCAAAATTTTGACCTCGTCACGACCTGGGCTGAGCGCTCTCGTTCAGAGTAATCTCAAGGGGCCAACTTTGTGGTATTCTAATTCGTTACGTTGTTGTACGTGGGAGAAAAAAATTGAGTTGTCATTTTAAGAGTCTTGTGTCCCACATGTGCCTCTTGATGTAGAGGGAACAAAATTCCGATAGACACGTAGATAGGTATATGTTGTACTATACTTTGTCTGGTGTTCTGTCGGGTGACCGAGGGCACTTGCTTGTGTCGTGTGTTGTCTGTTGTCGAACCGTTCTTAGCAAGTTGCAGAACCATCGACAAGTGCTGAAACCGAAGATGGTCAGGAGAGACGAGCGAAGTTGGCCAGCAAGTTGTGACGACGAGCCAGTGGAGCTGGGATCTGTCGTCAAAAATGGGATGTGTTCCCGGAACAGTTTGGAGCTGTATTCTCCCCATGGCCCTGGAGGCGAACCTGGAGGGACCTGGCGAACGAGCGCACCTGACATCCGAGCCCCGTGGAAGCAGCTCGTCTTTCCGGTGCATTGTCTGGCGGCGGGGGTGCTGTTATGCCAGCGAGTCCTCGTCAAACGACCGTGCCTCTGAAAAAGGCAATCTGGGTCAAGGCCAGCCCGCAGTCTGCCTGGCGCGATCACCTCGACGGCGTGAACACGCGCGGCGCTCCTCTGGCCCACGTGCAGTGAGTCAGTTGCGCACGTGACAGCGAGCCGGCGTCCTCGTGTCAGGTGGTCTGACGCATGGCGCGGCGGCCCCCATTGGCGGAATCTGCCCGGACGACCCGCGGCGCTTCTGATTGGACACTTTGGTTGGACCCGGTGTAAATAAAAGAAGCCCTGCGGCGCGTCGCGATCGGCGGTCCTAGGTGAAAGGCGTCCCGTGTCGGAGTGCCGACATGTGTGTGAGTCAGCGGTCTTAGGTGAAAGACTGACCTATGTGTTAGAGAGAAGAGCTCGGCTCTTCGAGTCTCTGTCGGCCCCAGTGCCGAAATTGTAACGCCTCTGTAAATATGCTGTACATAAACCTTGTTTAACTCACCGTCGTCTCGTCCGCTCGTCTTATCAGCTCTGCGCAGAAGCAGTCGCGAGCTGATAAACATACGCTACCAAACGGCTGGTGACCTTCCCGGCGGAGTTGAAAGCAGTGGCGCCTCCGGGGCCGTGTTGGCGTCGCCGTCTTTCGCAACAGTGGTGGCTTCGGCGGGATCGGTCCGTCGTTCGCAACAGTGGAGGTCAGCGGCGGGATTTCGGAGGTGCCTTCGCAACAAGCCCAACCCTCGCTAAACCTTGCTAAAACCACTGACGTTACGCCCGGCGAGTTTAACTTGGCAACCCTTTCTGATGAGATAGTGCTGGAAGTGTGTCCTTCTGATACTAGTTTTCTTTTTTTTTAGTAATCATCAAATTCAAGGCATACTTTATTGGAGATTAGGTCCCTAATACTCGTCTTTGTAAGTTATTTCATCAGAAACAAGTATCTTTTTTATTTGTGATTAACGTGCGTGGCTTTCCTCCTCAATTGAAAAGGGTACGCGAGTGCCGCTCCTCTAGTAGAGCCGTGGCTACCTACTACTACGACGACTACTACGTACATCGCGGCGCACGACCCATGGCATAGGGAGCTTCGCCCACCAAAATCGCTTGCGGTTAATACGTGCCACTCACCATCGTCGTCCTTGTTGGCCATCTTGGAGACGAGGCCCCCCGCGTAGTGGGACATGCTCATCGAGTTGCGAGCACCCATGGAGGCCGCACTGTGCAGCGGCGAAGAGAGGTACATGTAGCGGGAGGCAGCCTGTGTCGACGATATAAGGGCAAGAAATAAGGTTTCGAGGACGTTGCGCTCTCTTGGTATAAATATTCGATGAAACTGTTCATCGCTAGCAATAATGAGGAGCTCTAGACTTCATGTCCAGGAGAAGCCCGAAGAATGCGTACCTAAGTAGCAACAACTTACTTGCATGCTTTTTAAAGACAGGTTCGTATTCTTTCGTTCATCCTGCCGTTGGCATCTTGTAGCTTGGCGTACGAGAAACTCTGGTGCTGTGCACTATAACATGTCCGCGGCCAGAAGCATCGTGCATAAAGGCATTGATTTTTTTATAAATATTTTTCCTCATCTGAATTCGGCTCCCCTAACCGCATGTAAATCCCGCCTTGACTTCAACTGCACATCTACTTGATTTGCGCCTTGTGGCCTACGAAGAGGGGGGCTAAGAAGCGCTGGAGGCAGGTGTGGTATAGATGCAGAGAGGGATGCACAACCTTCTACGTAAGCGGAATGCCGGAGAAGCTAATATCTCTGACGCACAAGCGCGAGATACAAAAGGCTGCTGTGACGTAGTTATTAATGCGTGAAAAATCTGAGTAGACAGAAGGTTAAAACAAAATAGAGCATTACCCCCTTACTGAACTCTTTCTTCTATTAGACTTTGTATTTTTTTCACGCTTGTAACTATGTCACAGCAAATCCCTCAACACAAACTAGTGCAACTATTATTCGTGAACAGGTGTTACAGGTCGTAGCATGGTGACGCGACGTCGGCGTTCATGCCTGTTTATCATGCTTCTACGCGTTGTTGAGGCAGGGAAGAGAAAATCGTGCACAGAGAGAGGAATAGCACAGGGAATGCAGGAAGTATAACCAGGCGCCACCTGGTTTGCTTCGATACAGTGGTAGTGGGTAAGGTCAGCCTCCTCTATGCTTCTATAGCATCCTCTAGAGGAGGCTATGGTAAGGTGGACAGAAAAAAAAAACATAGGCAGCGTGCAGAGAAGGGTAGGTGGAGAGGTGCGACAACCGTGCGTGTATACCTGTCGCCCCAGGGGCGACGGGGGGCAGGAGGGGGTTCGGGCTGCGGGGGGTTCCGGGGCGGGACTGGGGCAGCAGCCGCTGTAGTCATCGTCGTCGTCCTCTTCGGGTGGCGTCTGCGGGGCACTGCTGGCCGACCTAGAGGAGCCCTGCTGGGAGCGGCCTATGCGACCGGGACAAGTGGCGGTGCCAGACACGATGACGTCGGCGGCACGACGGCGACGTCGGCCGCCCACGTCGAGCGTCCGGCCGCCGGGGGATAACACCACAGACGACCACTATACTCGGGTCATCGGGGTTTGGGAGTTGGGGAGGGGGGGATATTGGTGCGTGGGTGATGTTAGGACACGGGGGAGGAGGAAACGCAGATTAGGAGGGGGTTAGTTCAAGCTGGTTGCATCATCTGATTGGATTTGTATATAGTAGAGCAAAGCGGCGGCGGCGAGAAATATCAACCTTGTTGACATTTGACTCACTGCATTGACATCAAATGAAACAAAATTACGGTTACAATAGCAAACAGCAGACAATACATAGTTTTTTTTTTTGTAACGTCACAGACAGATTCTCTGCGCTGGGTTCCCTAAGATGGCGGCAAGCATGACCTTTCATCTTATTAGAGAGTGTCAGTGCAGTGGAGACGAAGTTGTGTTTATGGTCTCCCCGCTTCCCTCTGTTCACGAACCACGCCAAGGGAGAATGCGAGGTGCACTGGCACGAATCTCATCTCACCGTTCGAGTTTAAGCCGCATGTCGACCAACCTGCTATGGCAGCCACGGTGACGTAAATATAAATGCGTAGTTTTCGGTAATACATCTTCTGTGCATAGAAAATTGTTCAGTGTACGTGCTAGATGGCGGGCTTTTAAGGTAAATTTGGTCACATACCGTACTGCAAACAAATTAACTGGCACAAGCTGGTACTTAGGAGCGCAAAACAGGCAAGTTACAAGAGAAGGACTCCACAGGAAGAGCACTCTGTAATCATTCTCTTATATCTCGTCTGTTTTGTGCTCCTGAGTTCCAACGTGGATCATGCAAACTCGCCTAAATATCTGTGCTTCTCTGACTGTTTTATGCTTCGGCCACCACTCACCTGTCCATGAGCGCTGGACGCCGTGGAAGACAGCGATTCCATGCTGTCCGCTTCGGCGATTCCGGCGCCAGCCGCGAACGGACTCCTGCCCACGGGTGCCGAGGCGACAGACGCCGAGCCGGACGTAGGGCTGTGCCGAAGCCACGCGTACGGGCTCGAGTGATCCAGCGTCATGTAGTTGTCACTCTCCGAGCCTTTGGCCGACGGCACTGACAGCCGCGGCCTGTCCCTCAATGGCGTCGTACCATGCTGCAGGATAATGAGAAGGTCAGTCACTTTTCAGAAGAATTCTTGGGTTCGGCTAGTTCGTTCGCGATCATTATTGCGGAACAGCACCAACTAATGCGGCAGTGAAACATACATGACACAATACTGGGTATCAACTCATGATAGCGTCCTGTCCGATTGGGTCTTCATGTGGGAGATGCTTGCAATATGCTGCACAATAGGGTGGCCAATCGGTGTCTAGTGAGCGAGCGCATAACCAGCTACGGCCGCCGGTCAGGCCGCATCTCAAGCCTTTTCATGTAATTACGTCAACACGCGGGCTTTTCTTCATTAGCGGAGCTGTTTATCAAGAAGTTTGTTTTCGGGGGCATCCACATAGCGGAGGGATCATCAGAGGACAGGCTTATATCGCGGATAGAGTAACAACGGCGTCAAAGATTTCCGTAAAACCACCACGCACCTATTCGGAGGAAACGGGAAGCTTCTGACCTACAGCTCAGACTATCCCCCACGGAGGGGAATGTGGCGGAATTTCGCGCAGGCGTTTCGCCATATTGTTGAACTTGCTCGGGGAGAAGGCGCCAGCGCGCTGCCGGTTTCGTCTTCAGCAGCTGGTGAAACGGGTGGTACAAGCCGCCAGAGTAGTCTCGTTACACAGGTTTCTCCCAACGTTCGCCTCCTCTGAGTGATTGTATTCAGAGCCTGAATGTCCAACCGAGAGCTAATGTCCAAAGACACTGTATATGACCAATGAGTCTGAATTTCCAACCGAGATAGAATGTCTAACGAAACGGAATGTCCGACGAGCCTGCATGTCCAACGAGACGGAATGTCCAATGAGACTGTATGTCCAAAAAGCCTGAATGTCCGCTGTTGGACATTGCGTCTCGGCGGACATTCCGTCTTGTTGGACATTCAGGCCGCAAGCGGCGTGAGCGGGGGCCATGTGTCATAGAAAGCCACTTTTTCCATTTTACAGAGCTGGCATTTAGCGTTTTGGTAGGGTTTTGGTAGTGGCCGGGACAACTGGCGCTGCTAGAACAAAGACCTCCGGGACCAGGAAGCGGTTCGCGATTCTTCCACAAGGAAAGGGCGCATTCACCGCGGCATCGTAGATAAAGCGGATGTTTCCTCGCGAGTCGACCTCAACAGGCTCCGCATTTATCTCCCAAGGATTGGTTTCGCGTCTGAATGCCGCTGTAATGAAAATATACCTAAAATTAATACCTGTTACACCATACTAGAATAAACCAGTGGCAGTGGCTTACCTGGAAGCCCGAGAGGAGGACATAATCCGAATTGGAGGCGTACGAAGGCGGCGAGCCGTTGAGCAACGTTCTGGTTCCGTAGATGCGCTCCCGCATTGTACCCAAGGCGGGTGAGCCAGTTGGACCAAAGGCCGTCTGAGCGAGAGGCAAGCCCGACAATCACCATATGGACACAAATAAAAAAGAAACAAACAAACAAAGAACACACATGAGCCTTCAACGTGCTAGAGCAAACTGAGTAAAAAGGAATCATAGTGTGATAAAAAGTCCGTTTCGTCGCAAGGGAGGAGCAATCAATACGATAGAAAAAAAATGGAACTTCGTACATAAAAATGTCTGCAGCTCACTCATTTAGCAAATATGGCCGCTGCCGAGAGCGAAGTGACCTTCGCACGGTTAATGGCTTCAACGCAAACTTTGCGCTGAGATAACAACACCTGCATAGGTGTGATACACATCTGTGAACCTCCCTCAAGAAGTAAGCGAGCGAGCAGAGGTGACCACAACAGGTCAAAGTTTACAGCTGGCGGCGCACAGCCCCACTAGCGAGGCGACGCCCTTTAAAGCACCTTTCTTGTCTGTTGGCGCCACCTCGCGTGATCTTTCTGCCACGCTGAAACACTTCAGTGGCTTGGATGCTCATTGTAATGTGAATGTGAAAGAAGAAATGTGTATGAGAAGATAACCTAGCTGCCCCTGCAGTGACCAAACCTGAGACCTTTTAATGACGCGTCTGATGTTCTAGCACTCAATCACGGTGGCAGTAATTTTTGCGTCCATGTGAAAGTTATTTCACTCACTCACTCGTTCACTCACTCACTACCTAGATACATAAAATGACTCAATCGATAAGTTCACATAAGTTCAATCGATAAACACACGGAAGTGTGTGAAGGCGCCCACCTGTATGTACTGCTTTGCAGTGCTTTCCCGACGACCTGCCTAGGGAACAGTACTCCGAGTCCGAGTGGGCCGACACGAACATGTCGTTGACGCCCGGCCCCGTCTGCGTGCTTCCGGACACTTTGACCTTGCGCTCGAGCGAGGATCGGCTACTTCCACGCGGAAGTTCACCCGTCCTCGTCAGGCTCGACGTACGGCACTGTTGATCCATTTCCGCCGATCCATCCTTCTTTCCCTGGGAAGCTGCCCCCACTGCGGCCACTTCCGGAAGACGCCGTGCTGGAGGGACGCTTCCCGGGTGCCATCATGCAAGCGGACGGAGGACCAGAGCCTGACACGTTGGGCGGACGTCCCGGAAGTTTCCGGTTTGTCACCACTACCGCCGTGGAGGCGTACTCAATGCCGGAAGACCTGACGGGAGCCCCCATGCCAGCGGAGGAAGCGCGCATCTTGTCCAACGCCAGGTCGCTTCCGATCATGGCGGTGTCGGCAGAATACGACCGCAGCTTTGTCTCCCCACTTCCGGAGGAAGAGCAACCGGTCCTGGACTTGCCACCGGTCTTGGAGTGGACCGCTTCATGGCGGTTGCTGTCAGCCGTCGACTTGCTGCCGGACTTGCTGGACGACTGGCCGCCGCTCCGCTTGTTCTCCTTGGACTTGAGCGACTCCGTGGAGTTGGTCTTGGACTGCTGGTGCTGCAAGTCCTGCTGCTGGATGTACTTCTTCCAGTTGGCTGACGACTGCAGGTGGGGCGGCACCGCTCCCTGTTGCACGAGCGCGCTCGAATCCGTCTGCATGGAACTGTCCGTCTTCTTGACGTTCGCATTCCTGCTACGGATGGACGTGGGCAGCATCCCGCCGCCGCCTACCACAGCGGAACCGGATGCGGAGGAGTGGTGATCGGATGACTTCCGGCTGGACCTGTCCGGCATGCCCTTGTTGCAGGCTCCCGAGGACGTGCCCGAAGGCGCCATGCCCGGGTGGTGGGGTCGTCTCTTGAGACATCCGTACGGGTCCGAGCTGAGCGACGAGTCGGTCAGGTTGTCGTTGGTGCTCAACTCAGCGAAGGTGTCACTCAGGCCACTGCTGATAGAACTGCTGTCGTCGAAGCTGCGGAGAATTGAAAGGAGTGTGTTTAGAATACTTTTTAAACCCTTCAAACAAGCGGGAAGTTAAATCGAACCGTAATAGTTATTCTTGAAGGCATTGTTATTATTTCATGTAGAACGTACACACGCAAAAAAGAACGGAGGTAGCAAATTCAAAAGCTTGGGAAATTCCAAGTCAGAGAAGGTGATTTCTTTAAAGGTATATACGCCTGATATTTCGTCAATATTTTATTCTTATTTTTCTTGCATTCAACCTATAAATCATCATGACTGGATATATGAACTATTGCTGTCGACACAGCCAATAAATAGTTAATCTATGAAAAGGCGTTAAAATGACCTGCCATTATACCGTTCTGGCAATAAGACATTTTTCAGTGTTATTTCACAGCCAGTACAAAAAAGTAGGCAACACCACAAAATCTTGTGCTATTATAAGCCCCTGCCATCAAACTCACGGAATATATCTTAACACGAGCATAGGAAGAAATAGACAAATATGCAGCGTTAGGTTAGCGGTAACAGAATGGAATTTGTAACTCTAACCTATTGCATTTTATCTGAAAGGCAGCCTGGTTCAGTTCGCCGTCGTATAAAGAAAAGCTGGGCAGTTATCTTCGGGAAAAAAGAGAAGCCAGTATCATGGTCGCTTGCAGCGGAGGACTTTGCCTAATGCACTGCTTCTAACTTATTTCCTGTGCGAGCACTTTTGTTTTTGCGACATGAGGCCACTATCGAAAACGGCAGTTCTCTGCATAGGCTGTAATAACAGAGGGCTCCGATATTCAACTTTCAAAAGTTCGCGGACGTTATGTTTGAAAAATGGGACCGATGAGTCCAGGCTGTCATAATGGCTTGCCTCCAAAAAGTGCTTTCAATTTTTTTGCACTGAACTAAAAAGAAACGTAAGAAAATATGTGTGGAAAGGGCTGAGTTGGTGTAAGATCTATGACCTGTCCATCTGCAGAGCGAGCGCGGCTCAAGAAAAATGATAATAACGTAACGGTGAAAAAAGCAGGATGCAGTTATCTTATATATTATATTGTTGCCAGCAGCCACTACACAATTGATCAAAAATATTTAAGCAAGAAGCCGTCAACAACGGTGTCATAAATTCTGAGTCAGAGAGTAGGCGGCAGCAACAGAGTAAACGTCCATAAATCCGTTAAGAAAACAATCAAAGCAGCTAAAATATTATGTTTATATGTGAACACTCTGAGATTGCCTTTTTTTTTTGGGGGGGGGGGGTCACTGATGCCGGTCATCATTCTTCGGGTTGTTCATTTTCTGTCTTGCAATGTTTCTTTTTTTCCTTTTTTCCTTTGATGACAGAACCATCGCGGCCAAACTTTTAAAGCGACAAAAAAGTTTCCGTAACAAAGCACCCCGCAAGGATTAACAATGAATGAGGGTTCACATTTCCGTTTTATTAGAAGTACGCTGCGGCTGATAAATTAGAACTGTGAAGTGCAAGGTCAAGAGGTCACCCACGGTCAAGCCCAAAACGCGTGGTATGGAATCAAGGACTCCGAGGTACAAGGCCGCAGACGCGGCTACCCGAGCGCTCATTCGCCGGGCTACCTCATTCGAGCCCAATGAACTGGACCCCGCTACAAACTCTGCGCACGCACAAGAAAATTGTGGAATACTATCACTCTCAGCATCGCCGGTATCCACTCCCTGCCCAGGGTCTGGATAAGGCGGGAGAAGGAATTTTACGCCGGCGCCAAACAAACACGTGGCTATGCCCAGCGATATTACAATATTTTGACCCCACAGTCACCGGCAGGTGCAAGCACTGTGGGCAGACAGTCGATGTCTACCACATGGTGTGGGCCTGTCAGCTAAACACAGCCATTTCTCTCCTCCCAAACTTTACGCGAGAGGACTGGGAGGCGATGCTGCTTAGCTGCTCCGACCTTGGGGCCCAACAGGCCCTGATTGCCCGAGCAAGGGCAACGGTATTGTCTAATGACGTGCCGGACTGAGGATGCCACCTAGTCTGTATAAGGCCACTTCGGGGGCTCATACGCTCTCTTTTGTAATAAATCTTTTCACCACCACCACCAACATCCACGATCAAAGAGCTTTCGTCCCCTATTTAGAACACGTCTTTGTCGATGTGCGTCGCGTTAGTGAACCAGGTATCTCGTCACGTTTACCATGTCTAAACCAGAGCCGAGTTAGTTCTCAAATTTAGCACGTTGGTTCCATCTAGAATGATATTTTACTAGACAGGGGGTCGTGTGAAGCTTGCGTCTATATATTAGCAGAATTAATCCAAACCAACATCTGCACTACAAGAATTTTCATATAAAGTGGGGAAGTGAAGGGGCATATACAGTAGGTGCGCGAAACTCTGCAAACACAGTCGCACAGTGCCGCCCACCTCCGCCCCTACAACAATCTAGGTTGTGCACCATAGCTCTACTAGTGGATCACCTTAGCGAGAAGCAAAAATAGAATGGCCCGCCTCTTTACAGAAGCTCCACCGCCACAAGTCTAAGCGAGCGGTGTAATTATAACCAAAGCGTTCATCTCCTTGTCAAAAAGTAATTAGCGTATCTCAGTGACAAGGGTACGTGTGAAGTGGTCTTTGTGAATATTTTGAACCCATCTCATGCACATTGTTGTTGATAGATCCCCACAGTGTACGGTGATGTTCTCGTCGATTTGAGTTAGTGCCGCTGTCATGCGTTTTTCCTACAATTTGACAGCTGAAATACGCTATGTTGTCGTCAAAATGTACAGTATAGGGTATTTCTACTCCCGCCAATAAGCTGGGCAACGTGGCACACTGCGTGTCACGGTGTGTTATCGTGTTTTTTTTTTGCTGTGTCCCATCTTATGCTCAACACTTCTCGCCCCAACCCGTCTCATCTGTACACCGAAATAAAATTTTCGGTTTGTATTAGCATAAATGCACAGACAAATACAAACACACGCCTACAGATACATATCAAAGTGTCGAGGTCGAATATTAAATTCGCTAACGGGATACGAACCGAAAAAAAGAAATATTGCCAAGTTTTTGCACAGACCCAAGTGAACGACGTAGGTATGGAAACGTTGAACGGAACTTACGTGACGAGCAGTAGACGGAGCTCGAACACACACGGCGTGCCGTCACATTGCTTGCGTTTTGAGCAACGTACGAGTTCCGTGCAGTAGTTCTGATGCTCCTTACATAGCTGAGCACACAACGAAAGGCAAATGAGGAAACGGGCATGGGATTCAAGAGCAGTGAACCGGCGTGCATTGTAGCAAAGTAGGTGGCTAAAGGAGACGACGACGAAGTGTCTCTTCATAGAACGCTTCTGCTTTCGGCTCCGAGCATTGTTATCAAGTTTTTCGCTTTTTACGGGAGACGCTGCTCCCTGCCCCAAGGCGACGGACGCGGAGTCATCCACTGGTCCGCCCGGCCAGAGGTCTGCTATGGCGAGCTCCTCGGTAAATCAGCGCGCCTGGCCCAGAACCAGTGAGGCCAACGGTGATAGTCACTGCATCATGGCTGTGGACGTGGAGCCTTCTGCGGCTCTGTCCGACCATAGACCACCTTTGGCAAGCTCGTCGCGGAAACGAAGCACCTGTTCGAGCACCAGCGAGGACACGGAACTGTACTCGGCCACTGGCGACGACTCGTCGGATGACGACTTCGAGACCGTGAGAAGCAGGAAGGCCAAAAGAAGAAGTATCAAGTCGTCTTCACCAGCAGGGACATTAACGTCTCAGTCAAAAGGAGAATGCTGGCCGCACACCATCCTCTTCATGCCCGAGGACTCCACCATCAGCCTTCGAGCAGTAAACAGGCAAGCTCTCTCTATGTACTTTGAGGGGGTAGCACCAAATGACATTAAGGATATCCGGGTGAACACGCGGAAGAATATTCTAGCTGTGGACACAATGACTGCCAGCGCCATAGACAAGCTTCGCAGAGTATCAGATTTGGGAGGCATCAAAGTTCGACCGGTTATTCCAATGGACGGTGCCTGCACGGCGGGAGTAATCTACGACATTGATTTGGCCATAGCAAATTCGGACCTCCCAACTCTCATAAAACCAGCGAACGAAGGAGTTCTCATCGCGAATGTACTTCGCCTCAGAAACACCCGATGTGTAAAGATAATGTTCAAAGGAGATTCCATTCCGTCGCATGTCAAAGTGGGACACTTCCGACATCCTGTTCGACCATTTGTCCCTAAACCACTCCAGTGCCATAACTGCATGAAAATTGGTCACATCAAGAGTGTATGTACAAACACCACAGCATGCCCCCGATGCGCTGAGCCGCACACTGCAGACGCATGTCGGGCAACAAGTCTGAAGTGCAGAAACTGTGATGGTCCGCATGATGCTGCATCCAAGGAATGCCCTCGGATTAAGAAGGAAATCGCCATTATCAAACAAATGGTTAGGGACAATTCAACCCACAGAGAGGCTGCTGAAAGGGTACGGCGGCGACGTAGTCGCCGACGGAGGCGTGTAGGACAGAGTGTTGCGCATAACCCATTTCCTCCGAGCACGAGTGAAGTAGTAAGCACGAAGCGAAATGAAGTGGAGAAGCTCACAGCTGCGGATGAGTGGCCTACGCTTCCGCGTACGCAGCCGGCAAAGGAGCCTCCTGCGAGGCCTCGCCGCCCTACACCTTCCACCGAGTCTACTTCCGTTGAGGATGTGTCAAGGGTCGATCGACAGATCATCCCGATGTTACGATCCCTCGTCGCTGTCATGGCAGACATACTAAGAAGCCTGGGAACTCCAACCGCTCGAAGCGGGTTACAGGTGTTGGACGCGCTGAGCCCAGTCCTCGCCTCCCTCGCGTAGAGTCATGGCAGGAGATCAACAATCGTTCCGCAAAGACGTCAGAGAAGCATCAGTCATCCAGTGGAACGCAAGAGGACTTAGATCACGGATTTCCGATTTTCGTCAGTACGTGTTTTCTAACCGTTTCCCAATCATCGTAATATGCGAACCGAAATTATCAAACCCGATCAGGCTATC